CTTCTAGGATCCTGCACGGTTGCCTATCCTGCCTGCACGCTACCTGTTGCTGATACCTGGTATCCTGATCCGGCACCCGTGCACCCCCTGCCTGACACACACTGTCTCAAACCCAGTGCTCATCAGACAGGGTTGCAAGGGAGGTCCTCCTCATCATCTCGGGCCCACACCGCGGACCTAACACCAGTGCAGCAGGGAGCTGTGGGTTTGTGAAACCTATTGTGCAGGTTAGCACGTTACTGAGGTTGTCTGGAGGTAACAGACAGTGGCCCTGAGGATTGATGACGGAGCAGCAAGAGAAAACTGTTATAGGTCTGGGACACTGAGTGTGAGGGAAAACTCAAGGATTGGTAAGCCCATATCTGTTATATGCTGCAGCAAGCTATTTTATGTTGGACTTCTTGATTGTCTGCCTTTTGAAAGAAAAATAAAGACTTTTTGTTAATGGGAAAACACTGTGCAAGTGCTCTCTGAGCTCCCCAACATTACAACACATTGCATCATATTGTATGGATTAATTTGATTTGTTTGGACTTTATTTAACTGTGAATGCTATGTGGTTTGAGTTCAGCCTATAATAATTGTTGTATATTTCACTGTTTATATTTGATTGTTTCTTCAGCTCGGCATATTATGGCATGTATAAAATAGGGGAATGGGCAACTTTATGGCAGATGAGGTTTAATGTTGATAAATGCAAAGTTATGCACTTTGGGACAAAAAACACGCAAATGGGTTATACAATAATGGGTATGCCGCTAGGGAAGTCTGAAATGGAGAAAGATTTGGGGGTCACTGTAGACCATAAACTCAATAATAGATTACAATGCCAGGTTGCGGTAAGCAAAGCTAGTAGAGTCCTGTCCTGCATCAAGAAGGGAATGTTTTGCAGGGATAAGTCTATAATTTTGCCACTTTACACATCACTGGTTCGGCCTCACCTGGAGTATGCGGTGCAGTTTTGGGCACCGGTACACAGAGGGGATGTCCTTGAACTGGAGAAAGTCCAGCGAAGGGCGACCAAACTCATCAAAGGGATGGAGGACCAGAGCTATGAGACACGGTTACTAAATTTAAATATGTTCACGCTGGAACTAAGGAGATTAAGGGGGGACATGATTTTCATGTACAAAATGTTCCATAGTCATAGCAACATTAGCAACAAACTCTTTACGATTAATTCCGTAACAAAGACTAGAGGCCACCACCTGAAACTGGTAGAAAAAAAATTCAAACACAAGGGGCGGAGGGGGTTCTTCTCAGTTCGCGCGGTTAGGGTCTGGAACTCGTTGCCACAAGCAGTGATTTCAGCTAATAGTGTGGAATCGTTCAAGAAGCTTTTGGACGATTTCCTGAGAAACGGTAATATACAGGGGTACAAGTACTCCTAAAAACGAGATGACTCGGGGATCTTTACACACACACACACACAATAGGTTGGACTTGATGGACATGTGTCTTTATTCAACCTCAAATACTATGTAACTATGTATGTATATTTTTCTTTAACTGATTTTGGAATGTTATGGGTAATTACCATTAATGGGTCTAATGATCCAGGTGAGTGCAGTGCATGATTTAATTATTGTCTAGAAATATCAGGTGAAACCTGGCTGTAAAAGCTGATCAAATCTAATGCAAGTCAGTCAGATGCAAGGCTTTGCTGAAGAAAGGTTTACTACTGCAGGTAGGGAGCCCAATATTCAGTCTGAATCAAGTCTGATTTGCAGCTTGCTACAGTACCTATGACCTAAACCCTATTGCTCAATATAATTATTTTTGTAACTTGAGTAGCAAGCCAATATAGCTAGTACGTCCCAGATTACTGTAATATGATACTAACAATATTTGGTTAGAGAACAAACACACATGGGCTTTCATGGCAGCAGTTTTTTAATTTAAAATCACAGCATGAAAAGTCCTCACTGAATGGATGATTAGGTGTGGAGGTCAATGGCAAATGTTTTGAATGCTGCAAAACAGATATAAAAAATCTTGGGTGACCTACAAACACATGGGACGTAATACCAGGAGTACACTGCTGCAGCCTTTGAGGAGCTTAGATGATCTGGCTGTAGTAAAAGTATATTATGGCTTCTGTGTATCAGACTCAAAGCACACATGCACAATGCAAACCATTTATCTTAAATTAATATCAAATGGCAATTTTAAAATAATAGTGAGCAGATTAATTCTCTTGATAACACTGTGGCTCTGTTGTGCTTCTAGAGCTAACATGACTAGGATAGCTGTAAAGGTAGCTAAGGCTTTTTCTGATTGTAAACAAACATAAAGGCACATGCATAAGGGTCCCCTGGGTGTAGTCCCATTGCTGCAGAACAAACAGTGATGAGCTGGTGTTGTACATGTTGTTAAGTCCTATGGGTATTGTTCATTACCCGATAGTCTGCAAACAAAATTCAATAATCAAGTCGCGTTGCATCCTTTTGACTTACCAATTATCATTCTGGGTTAATGCATGAAGTTGCTGTGCAGAGACGGGCAACTTGCTGTCAGTGTGATGCAAATTGTCATACACAGATGGGTGTGCTCACCAAACATTTTGATCATCTTTTTGAGCAGAGCCAGCTTAGATGAACTTGATATTAGCCAAGTTAAAATGGACATGGATATTTGCACGGGAAAACCTTAGCGTGAGTAATTTTCATTGATTTATTAAACCATAGGCGGTTCACTTAATAAGTGAATGTTTATTTAGCAAAGTACATTTTTGTTTAGCTTAGTAAAATGAAGTGAAGCTGTACTGACAGGAATAATCCAATCATTTCTGTGAGGTTTTTTTATACTTTACAAAGTGAATATGCTCTACTCTTTTTTTTTTTAATCTATCCAATTGAATACAAAGTAGAGAAAGGAAATAAAATAGTTCGCAAATGAGCAGTACCGTTGTTAGCAGTTGCTACATATTGAAATAGCAAAATGTACAATTTGTATAGAGGTGTGGGAGACAATTCTCACCTATTGCCGTTGTTAGAACAAAAACTTGTTCCATCTTCTTCCCATCATTGTAAAACGCTAAATGCCAAGCACCTTGATCCATGTATTCAATGAAGCCTGTCTCTTGTAAGGAAGCGAGGACTAGACTCCGAGGTGCGTGCTGTGGGTTTTCTGCATTTTTTGGTTCTTGCTTTATCAAGTGCTTTCCATCCATCAACTTTACAAAATCAAACTGTGTGAAGATCAAGGGCAGTTTATGACTGATTAAGCCGATTGTAGCACACATTTTTACTTTGAAAAGCTTTGAAAATGTTAGACCACAGCAAAAAGGAAAGTTTGTATTATATCATAACACAATGGCTATTAACAATTTTCTGCCTTAATGCAGATTTATTAAGTGAATCCGAATGGACCAAAAGATCAAAGGGTAATATCCTATCAAGCAGAACATATTATAATGATTAAGAAAGACATTGTGGTCACTTCATAAGAAGGGATAAATTCCACTATAATCTGACATCAAGATTAGGTATAGGAGTTAATTACCATACTATAATATGATAAAAGATATAATTGAGTGCTAACCAACCAATTGCACACCAAATGATGTTGTGCAGTCGTACATGGTTATTATTTTCACCTTACACTGACTGCACCATTAATCTATTTTAAATACTGCTATGAAGAATCTGTGCATAGTTAATGTTGATCTAGTTGCTAAAATACAATTTTGACAAGTTGAATTCATATGTTAGTTATATATGTTTAAACAGTATAAGGCTGGGCACACACCTTACAACCATAGCAAGACTTTTGTCTTGCTATGGTTGTAAGGTAATTAAAAAAACGTACAATCTGCCTATCTTGGACAGGCAGATCGTACTTGCGATGATCGCAAGCCCGCCCCGCTGAGATCGTACTTCCGATGACCGCAATGCCGAATGGGCAGTGTGCGCTTGCGCACACTGGCCCGTTCGGCTTTTATCTAACGAACATGCTACAGACCCGCCGAAAATCGTACGATTCTCGGCGGGTTTTCGAACATGTTCGTAAGATAAGTCGTGTGACCTTACTGTAGTAGAGGTCACACGGCTTCCCCACACCTTACGAAAATCGTACGATTGCGGGATTTCCCACGATTATCGTACGATTATCGCAAGGTGTGTGGGCACCTTAAGACTAAGCTAGCTAACCCTGAATGCAAGAAAAGATGAATTTTCTTAACATTTAAAGCATATCTCTAGCCAAAACTTTTTTTGAGTAGGGAATAGATAGAACTCCTGTCAAGTTGTTTTGTTTTTTTGTTGTTGTTACTATCTGTGTCTCATATGGGATAGTTCTCCTTGCTTCATGTCCAAGAGAGACTACAGGAAGAGAGGTGAAATTCACTCTTAAACAGCTGTAACTGGATTAGGTGTCCACTTTGTAAGATTCACCCTTACCTCCTGTTCTGGGGACATGTGTAAAACTGTAGATTTCCCATCAATTTCTGTCTTCATGACAGTGGTCGCCAAGACAAATAGAGGGAATTGATCTTCCCAGCAGGAGTAGAGTTAAGATTTACATTATCCGTATCATCAATAGCTCCTAAAGTGGTAACATTACCAGACAAAAGTAAGTACTATACATACTTGTGTGTGTGTTGGTGGGATGTTTCTTTTTCCATATATACCAAGAAGGGAATCTTTTGAAAATGAGACATTAAATTTTAAATACATAGGATGGTGAATTGTAATCTGGAATCGCCAGAACAAAGCAGGTGGGATTATCTTCACAATCTGTTTTCCTATTTCCACTTCGCCAGAGTCTATCGCTCTTCCTTTTTGATAAACTGCACACATAAACAGAAAAACAGTTTCCATTAACCAGTATACATAGTAATACAAATTAAAGAAAATAATTATATTAAATGCCTATAGGAAAATAACTGTTTTAGAATTAGTTTATCAGTATATTTATAAACCAAAAATAAATATTTAACATAATAACACAACAGTGTTAACGCACTTCCTTCCCAGCTCATTTACTATGGTTTATCAAGTCCTAAAAAAAAAGGTTTAGGTTGGATAATTTTGGCTGATTGAACATTATTCTGTGCAAGTGTCATATTTTCAGTCACCGGTACTTTACGAAAAACATAATCAGTTTAACCAAATGGACAAACCAGCAACAACTTCAACAAACCAATCGGCTTTAATAAAACTGTAACAGCATTTTGCTGTATTTGCCTTACAGCAACATGATTACTATGACCTAACCATTTCTCCCTAGGAGTAAAAATCAGCTTGCTGGCAAATGACACTAGTCTACCTTTGAGCAAACATCCATTTTATTCCAACAACCCTAATGAGGCTAGGCTGCCAACAGATGCTCGGGATTATAACAAATACTCTAAGATACAGATCCCATTCTGCATACTCCCAGAGCTTCCAGAACCAACTCTCCTCATGTTCATAATGCCCAAGTGTGCATAACTTCACATGTGTAAAGATATATGCAGAAAATGAATCTTGTAAAAGTTGGATCATAAACAAATATCCTTCCATTTGACCAGTTTCAGTTTGTCTGAGCTCACATGGATGACTTACAGTTTTCTATTAATTAAATGTCCTGTACATCATACATTAAATGGGAACTATAACGGTATTGGATCGCGTTTAACAATTTTAAATGGCTACGTTGTTACACTGATATTTATTTTAAATTTTATATATAGCATCTGCAAGCAAGCATTTAATACATGGTGCCTCAATAGCTCTTGTTACCAATATCATTTTCGGGTTTTCAAAATAGATAGCACAGTAGTAGATGTACCATTTGTGAATAATTCACAACAGAATCTCCATAGGCTACATCTGAGGAGAGTAAGCAAGAAAATAGAGTGAGTCACTCCTTTGACTTATTAGGTGATGTGTATAATTTTTCAAGTCTGCAAACAATAAGGTATTTTCAGCAAAGCAATGAATGTTAGCCTGCTTAACAAGTGACAAAAGAACATAGCCCAGTGCTCAGAACAATTTGTATCTGTAGTGATTTTATTGTGGATTCTGAAAAATATAAAAGGTTATGTAAAGCAATAGCTGTAAGCTCAAGAGTGTTTTTAATCCGATCCGTATTAAATATTAAGGAATAGCAATGTCTTGCTGAGCTGTGCAGTGAATGAGCAAGCAGGCGTCAATAATCCATAGTGTCATTAATGTCAAGTACTAAATATACAGATTATACATTAATATTTTATATAGTGATTAGGTTTAACTATTTGCTTTATATATCAGCTTAATTTATCTATCGTTTAAATGCTGCAGAGAATTTAAGCCATTAAAAGTAATATAATGAAAAAAAAATTCAATAACATATTCTAATGTAGCTTGAGAAATGACTTACTCCAAAAAATTTTGTGCTTTAATATATTATACCACCATTTTATTGTAATGGGCTGTTAGTTGTTTTTTTCTCCCTTTGCAATTCTGCAGTAACAAAAGCTCCTAAAATTGTTTCTGTGCAAGAATGTCACTATTTTATTGCTGTTTTCAAGGGTATTCTCATATGAACTTATAAAATGCTTAATAAAAAATCCACTTATTTTAACATTGATTTCTGTGGCTAGAGTCTTTCTGCTAGCATAAAGCTCACTAATCCAAACTTATTAAATTTTTATAAAGGCAATCTAGCAGCCACTTTGTTGGCACCGGAGCTTCACAGATGAATCGAAACCAGCAGAAATTCAGGTTGACTATGGTGTCTATCTATCGATGTTTTCACCCTCTTTACACAACTTTTACCCAAGATTCAAACATTATTATTTTACTGTATCTTTTTGCATACCCCTCTATAATACAGTTATTCTGCCATCTATCAAAGCAAAAAACTGCCTAAATCACAGACCTGGACATCATACTTCAAAATGCGACATTCACACCGGACTTAGCTTTACAGATTAATCAAAACCAGCAGAAACTCAGGTTGACTATGGTGTCTATCAATGTTTTCACCCTTTATTTACACAACTTTCACCCAAGATTCACACATTTATCTACTGTATATTTTTGCATAACCCCTCCATAATACAGTAATTCTGCCATTTATCAAAACAAAAAACTGCCTAAATCACAGACCTGGACATCATACTTCAAAATGTGACATTCACACCGGACTTAGCATTGTAATTTAAATAAATCAGTGGTGTAGCTTGGAGTACCTGAGTCCCGGTACAAGATATAAACTAGGACCCTGTGTTTCCACTTTAATTTCTACCCTATTACCTCTGGTACCAAAACCCCTCCATATTCACTCAACCCCCTGCCTACTGCAATAGCTTGTATAGTATGTTCCCTCTTGTACGGGAAAAGTAATCAAGAAGAAAACTTACTAAGCTTATGATGATGTGGAGGGTACATTTGGATAAGCCTATGTGAACCCTTTAGGTGCCCCTGGAGCAGGGGCCTGATTGTAACCACAGCTACAGTTCCTATAACACTGTAATGTATTTGCTGCCAAAACCAGATGATGTTTACATCAGCTACTACACTACTATTTTAAACAGCTCCACAACATATAAATGGTCTAATAATGATTTCAAGCAAAAGGAAATTGATTCTGAACCTATGCAATATTAACTTCAGTGAACTGAACATTTGGATGAATTAATGTATTACATTATTGGAAAAAATCAAACAGGAGAGCAAATATATTGTACTGGGTACACTACACCTAAAACTTATATAATAGTGTAGAACAGACCCTGGTCAAATATATTTACTTAAATAATTTACTGTGTGTGCGCAATGGGAAAAATACAGTGAAGCTGAATATCTAATCACCTACAAGAAAAACTGGATGTTTATGTTCCTGTCTCTTAACTCCACTTCCCCTCCTTAACACTTCAGCCAATAAAGTATAAACTAATACTCTTTGAATTCCATGAATATGTAGTACTATTATGTGTACTGTGCCAGTATATACATGTTGTGGGAAGATAGGGAGCAGCATAAATGTGGATTAATAGAGTTGCAAAGTGAATCATTGCTTGGGAACAGGTCTCATATAGATGTTATTGGTCCTGTGACAAAGCTTGGATTAGTGTGCTGTTTTATACTTTTTAGTTTATGGTTCTGTACGACTGGGACTACAAGCTGTTAAACAGACATTAACTTCATATTTATTATGTGTTCTTATACTGTGAGCATTGCATGAAATATAAAAATGAACTTACTTCTACAGTTTAATGTGGTATCAGACAGATTGAGGCAGAACTTACATTAGTTAGCACCAACAAAACAGATTCACAGACATTTTAGATGCCGTTATAAAGCAGCTTATTTTGTTTTTGGATATAACTAGCTGCACTACTAGCTGCATATGGTAGACAAGGAACGTTACTTGCAGACATACTACACTTTCCCTAGGAACAATCTGGTGTTGGCTTTGCAGTAATTTCCCATAGATTTGAACAGGGCCATACACTTAACCTCCCTACTGTAGGAGTATGCGGAAGGATGGGAAGGTACTTTACAGGCATGTTGCATAGGATGTTTACACCATGGGAGGCCACCACCATCACAAAGATGCCAACAACCACCTGTGTGTGGTGGGTATTTTAAGTTAGATTAGCTGGTAGGAAGGGTGGGTTGGGTGAAGATGTGTCCATTTGTATATTCAGTCAATCAAACCCCCCCCTCCCCTAAAAACCGGATTCTGCTTTGTATGTGATTGGATGATTGAAATAAACACATCTTTACATGTTGAGCTAAGAGAAACAGATAAAACATAATTATTATTTTTTTCCCAGGAAAAAGGAGAAAATGTTGATTTTAAACATTTTCCAAATAGACCCCAATAAGTAATCATACAATCCTATCAGTCAAATGGGAGGCTGCACAAAGGTTCTCCTGATCTTGTAGAGTATGAGTAGCTAGACTGGATTGTTAACTTTATCTGTGGGTATGTGTTTTCTGTAATATAAAATCTATAAAGACCTGGATAAATAATATTGGAGGGTCTCTTTGATTATGTGTGGATCTATAGTGCCACACTGAGCAATTTATTTTCAGTGTGCTTTAAAAACACCGTGGCATTTTTATATCAAATAAAACAAAGATTGTAATATTTTCCTTTTGATCTCACTTGCATTTCACTGATTTTAATGCAACTATCCAGCATCAACCAGACCAAAACACTCATTTTATTATGTTAATAAAAATTCTCTATTTGAAAAGATTGCAGGAGAAAGTTATTTCTTCCAACTTTTTAATGGTGTAATGCAACACTCTGCTGAAATCAATATTCCCAGGCAAGAGGCATCATTAAAATATATCTTGATGACCCTTTCTGCTTGGTGTTCGTTACACTAAACTCATAATTTACTGTGAATTCACATGATAGGATCTTGTTGGGTCTTCTGATAAGTTCCCCATGGTTTTTTTTTCTGGAAACTTGATATGCTCTAGTCTACGTTTCCATTAAAAACTTCATTAAGAAACCAATTACAATATTGACTAGAGTAATGCATATGGGTGTTTAGCAACATATTTTAATATAGGATTGCTAGTTTGTCTCAGTATGTAATTATTCTGTAAAAAATAAATTCCCCTTATTCAACAAAATTGCTGATTCAGTAGAGGTGATGTATAGTATTTTCAGTGATTTTCTAGATATACATGTATAAGAGTAGCTTGATGTAAATTATGTTATGCATGCTGAAAGTGTTTTTTTAAACATATCTGTATGTATTTTGCTGCAAATAAATGGTTTTGCTGTACTGTTCCTTCTCTCAATCTGTTGGCAGACTCACTGAAAATGATGCACTCTATGTCTGGATAATATCTTAAGGGTTCATTCACACTAAAGTGATCATGCATCGTGAATGGACTGTTAATGCACTACAAAGGGTAAACAAATATGCATGCCCTCTTCTTTCAAATGTAGTGCACAACAACTCATGGTATGTGCATTGTGGTACACTGCAAAGCAGCATATATTGCACTTGCACATTGAATGGATTGGCCACGATTAGAGAGAGACTGAAAATGTAAGCAGCTTAGGAAGCACAAGTGTGCTCTTCGGTCCAAGCATCCTTGATCGCACCCCAGTGGCTTACCCCTATAAGGCACCCCAGAAGACTGGAACACATTCCTCCCTCAGCTGGGCTTTCACACAAGCTACACACTTTTTTGTGTTGGTACATGTCCCAGTGGCAATTCCCAGCTTCCCATGTGTTTTAAAAAAAAAACGTAGTTTGCCTATTGGCTCTAAAAATGTCCAGAATTTACTAACAGGAACACCCCTTCCCCATGGACTTGGACTTTACCACTAAGTTTGGGTTTGCTAATTTTCGAACAAGAGTTGCTGAACTCCTGGCAACTTGTAAGAAGAGATGGGTGAATCTGCCTGGGTTCCAAGTTCTCTGTTTTTAAAGTTCTTGCTTCTGAAGCTGCATGAGGGCCATGTAAGTACTTTCCATAGCTCTTTGAAAGGCTCTAATGTTCATAGACAAAAAAAAGATAAAAAGGTGGCACCACTGAAGTTTAAAGAAATAGCACTGTCGCACTGTAAATGTGGAGCCCAACTCAGATTGTGCATCAAATCTATTGTAAGCTTCTTACTGCTTTATCCTAATGGCCAATGCAAACCACCTGATTATAACTGCAGGTGGTGATGGAGACAAAATACTAAAAACACAGTTCTAAGAAGAGCATCACACTGTGGGGTCTCCAGCAAAGTAATTTACACTGGAAAATATTTTAAGTAAACTTTACTTTTGCTCAATTTTGTGTTTCGTGTGTGTGTGTGTGTATAATATATATATATATATA